GCCTTTGAATTAGTTCTAACCCATAGTGACCCTGTATAGGGTTTTCAAGGAGCGACTGGTGAGCTTGAACTGTCGACCTTACAATTCAAACCGACTTCACTGTTCAGTGCATTAACCCACAGTGCCACACCAGGGTTTCCAGTGCAACACCAATTAAGGAAGACCATGGACTTCCAGAAGAATAAACATTTTTCCTTGTCTTTTTGATCTGCCATTTAAATTTTCTGTTCCATTGTTTTACTTCCTTATTTATTCCATTTACATTAGCATGTCTATGCTGGAGAACAAATTTCAGAATTTTTTTCTCATACATTTTGTAGTCTCTTGTTTCTTTCCTGTCTTTTTAGTGACTTTTGCTTTCTTCCTGAGTGATGTTCTTGATGTCATACCACACGCTTCTGATCTTTGTCATTAGTGTCTAATATATCAAATTTGTTCTTGAGATGGTTTCTAAGTTCTGGTGGGATATGTTCAAGGTCATATTTTGGCACTTGTGTACTTCTTTTTATTTCTAACCTTCAGTCTGAACTTGCATATAAGCAATTGATAGTCTACCCCTGCCAAAACTGAAAATGAAGAGAAACAGCTGTAACATCCATTAATAATTGGAACATGGACTGTACAGAGTATGAATCTAGGAAAATTAGAAATTGTCAAAATTTAAATGGAACACATAAACATAGATATCTTAGGCATTAGTGAGCTGAAATGAACTGGTATTGGCCATTTTGAAACTGACAACCCCATGGCTTACTATGCTGGAATGACAAATTGAAGAGGAATGGTATTGCATTCATTGTCAAAAAGAACATATCCAGATCATTCATGAGGTACAATGCTGTCTGTGATAGGATAATATCCATGCGCCTACAGGGAAGACCAAGGAGCTCTGGTAGAGTAGTGGTTAGACTCAGGCTGCCAACCTCAGGGTCAGCAGTTCAAAACTACCAGCAGTTCCATGGGAGAAAGATGAGGCGTTCTGCTCCCGTAAAGATTTGTAACCTTGGAAACCCTGTGCAGGATTACCACAGGGTTTGAGTCGCAACTAACTCTATGGTAATTAGCAACAACAACAAAAACAACAGTGAAGACCATTTAATACTACTATTATTCAAATTTACACACCAACCACTAAAGCCAGTGAGAATGAAATAGAAGAATTCTACCAACTTCTTCAATCTCAAATTGATCAAACATGCAATCAAGATTTAGTGATCATTACTGGTGATTGGAATGCAAAGGTTGGGAGCAAAGAGAAAGGATCAGTAGTTGGAAAATATGGCCTTGGTGACAGAAATGATGCTGGAGATCGCATAGTACAATTCTGCAAAATCGATGATTTGTTCATTTCAAATACCTTTAGACAGCATAAGAGATGATATTATACACATGGAACTCTCCAGATGGAATACACAGAAACTAAATTGACTACATCTGTGGAAAGAGATGTAGTCAATTGGATAAGCTCCATATCATCAGTCAAAACAAGGCCAGGGGCTGATTGTGGAACAGACCATCAAATTCAGACCGAAACTGAAAAAAATGAAAACAAGTCCATGAGAGCCAAAATATGACCTTGAATACATCCCACCTGAATTTAGAGATCATCTGAAGAACAGATTTGATACATTAAACACTAAAGACTGAAGACAAGAAGAGTTGTGGGATGACATCAAGATCATCATATACAAAGGAAGCAAAAAGTCATTAAGATGACAAGAAAGAATGGAAAGGTCAAAATGGTTGTCAGAAAAGACACTGAAACTTGCTCTCCAGTGCAGAGATGCTAAAGCAAATGGAAGAAATGAGGAGACACAAGAGATGAACAGAAAATTTCAATGATCAGCTTGAGAAGACAAAGCCAAATATTACAACGAAATGTGCAAAGATCTGGAGTCAGAAAACCAAAAAGGTAGAACACGCTCAGGATTTGTAAAGCTGGGGGAACTGAAGAAAAAATTCAAGCCTCAACTTTCGTTATTGAAGGATTCTCTGGGCAAATTATTGAATGATGCAGAAAGCATCAAAAGTAGATGGAAGGAATACACAGAGTCACTATACCAAAAGGAAACGGTTGATGTTCAACTGTTTCAAGAGGTAACATATGATCAAGAGCCAATGATACTGAAGAAGGAAGTCCAAGGTGCATTGAAGGAATTGGCAAAGAACAAGACACCAAGAATTGATAGAATAAAAATGGAAATCTTTCAAGAAAGTGAGGCAGCACAAGAGGCCCTCACTCATCTAAGCCAAGAAATTTGGAAGACAACTCTCTGGCCAACTGATTGGAAGAGATCAGTATTTGTGTCCTTTCCAAAGACAGGTGACCCAATGGAATGCGGAAATCATTGAACAATCTCT